TGGACTGGTGTTGGACATATGGGTTAATGTTGGACTTGTGGGCTTGGGCAACACTGGGTTGGGATGTTTTCTTGATGCACACTTACCCTTTATATAAAACTCTCTCTTATACATGAGTTTCTGTTGATTTATTTTTCTAAAGTACCCAGACTAAAACACATATATGTGAAAGAGAGGTTTCTATCAAGGAGAAATCAGATATCAAGAAAACATCTCAGCACAGTCCAAATCAAGTCTGTAAGTCTGATATTAGTCCCTAAGCCCAATACTAGCCCATAGCTCTCTCTTCAGACTCACACAGCACATGCAATTATGTAAAATGCAGGAAGATGACAGGCCAGTGAGTGCAAAGTCTGTGGATCCAGTGGTGGTGGAAGCATCTCAGTGCTGGTGTGGGTCTGTATGCTGCTCCTCTGGCTCTCCAAGTGTGGCTCTTCAACAGAAAGTGAAGCAGAGAGAGAGATGCTCTCACAAGACTCAGCAAGTCTCCAAGTGGCTTGTCAACAGGAAGACCAAGGCAGAGAGAGAGACAGGAAGTTCCCAGAATCCTCATAAGACGGCCATGCTCACAAAGAGGCATCATAAGGCTGTGACCTGATTGACAGGCTAGACTCCACCCCTTCACTCTTAATACCGTCAAGTTGACACAAGATTATGTAACTACCACACTGATAAAGATAATTTTCTATGCTTTTATTGGACTCTGAATTAAAATCATTTCTGAACCACTCACTTCCTTAGTCTCATCTAGACCTCGTTATCAGAGCAACGTATCAATTCCAAACTCTTTACACAAAACATCCTGCTTTCAGACTATAGCAATCTCTTCTTTCAGGTTATGTGCCCAAGTGCTCTTCCTGTAATTCTTTAATTCTACTTAGACCACAATGATTTGTTCCTCCTGTCTGTTCTTCCTTTCTTAGCCATGGCTGCTCACCAGTGTAATCAGAGCCTTAAAAACATACTCAACCCTCATGTCTGTTCCTTGCTTTACGTGCAGAACATCTAACCACAAGGTCAGCAGTTCAAACTCACCAGCTGCTCCGCAGGTGAAAGACTTGTTAACCTATTCGTCCAGTTGTGAGGATCTTTTGTTTTCTTTACTTTGAGTTGTAATCCATACTGAAGGCTCAAAAGAGGATCAAATAGAATTTCCATGGAAGAATTTCTTCCCAGTATTTTTTTTAAGTATGATTTCTCAAACCCTGAGAAACCATATGATTCTCTGACTCAAGATAGCCAATACCAGTCTATTTAAGTCCACCAGTGTCTAGGATATAAATCTTTATGTGTTACATTCCATTTCATTTGACTTTCAATTTGTCCCCTGTATGTGTACTGTATTTATTGATATATTTGCAGCACATATAAATACATATGTAGAAATAGCCTCTGCTAGACAGACAGAGATTTTGACTTGCTTGTTCATATGGGTCCTGAGCAGTCCCTGGCACATACTGGCACTCAGTAAGTACTTGTTGGATTGAGCCATTAGAGAAACAGAGAGTCCCTGAGTGTTCCAATAACAACTCTGGAAATCTACCTGCTAAATGCCCATTTTCTTTCTTCTTTCTCCAACTGAGGAGGTGTGCTCCATGCTGTCTAAGGCAGACATTGCCATATAC